ACCCTCAAGGATGACGTCGCCAGCTTCGCTAGATCACTCGCCCGCGCCTCAGAGTGCGAGAACAATGTGGTCGCTTATTCCAAGGTCACCCTCTCCCTAAGTTCTTTCGGCTTCTTAAGGAGCGATTCGCAGATGTCACGCGAGGCGTTAGGGCCTCTGACAAACTGCAGACTATCCACTCACGCCAGTGGAGGAGTGCCAGAGCACTCAAAGGCGTAATGGACGAGCTTGTAGCCGTCCTAGACCACGGGGTCACTAAGGCCCAGTTGGTCAATCTCTTCTATCGTGCCATGCCAGAGCCCCTACAGGTGCACTTCTTTGAGAAGAGCCGACAACCCACCATGGCATACGATGCGTTGATTAGAGAGGTGGTGCTGTTCGAGGCGCGGTCCATGTCAGTTTCCACTTTCTGGCACAAGGACCTAGACAAAGGTAAAAAGTGGAAAGGTCGTACCATCTCAGGACAGGTAAAGGGAAAGGATCATCTGATCCTTACGTTAGATGAGGGTGGTACAAACGAGGTCCCGTATACCCAGATCGAGTGGGGCCTTGAGGAGGAGGACAATAGTGAGGGTCAGGGGAGGATCCTCCGGGATGCCTTCAGAGAAGGTGGCGACATCCACCTATGAGAGGCAGCAAGGGCCACACTCCATTTGAGAGAGCACGACTATAGGCTCCCTAGTCCCACAGGTGAAGTTAAGACTGCTCGCCTGTTTCATGTCTCTGGAGCAGACAACACCCTGACACATTGCTGCCTCATTGCTTCGTCGTTCATGCGATTAGTAAAGAAGGAGCAGTTAGAAGAACAAGTTTTTGTAGCCTACGTGAGGCCAGTCACTAAGACTAAGGAGGAGACACCCATAGACTCTGCTATTGCCAAGCTGCTGGAAGAATATACATACCTAGTTAAGCCGCCTACAGGAGTAGTGCCGCGGCCGATCCACCATCGCATAGAGATAGAGTCTGGCAGTAGGACTCCTAAGGGAGCGATTTACAAAATGTCCCCAAAGGAGTTAGAGGAGCTACGTAAGCAATTAGACGAACTCCTTGAGAAGGGTTGGATAAAACCCAGTTCGTCCCCCTTTGGATCACCTGTTCTATTTGTCCCCAAGAAAGAGGGAGAGCTTAGAATGTGTATAGACTATAGGGGTCTTAATGCGATCACAGTGAAGAATGCAGAACCACTGCCCCGTATAGACGATTTGTTAGACCGGGTGCAGGGCTGCAAGTATTTCTCGAAGATAGATTTAAAGTCCGGCTATCATCAGATAGAGGTTCATCCTGATGATCAGTACAAGACAGCATTCCGGACTAGATATGGGCACTATGAGTTTATAGTTATGCTCCTTGGACTAACCAATGCGCCAACGATTTTCCAGCGCTGCATGAACGATTTGTTTAGGCCGTGGTTAAATAGATTTGTTGTAGTATATCTAGATGATATTCTAGTGTTCAGTAAGACCCTCCAGGAGCATGAGGGTCATCTGAGGCAAGTCTTGGAAAAGCTTAGAGAAGCTAACTTCAAGATCAACGCAAAGAAGTGCGAATGGGCCAAGACACAGGTTTTGTACCTGAGCCACGGCTTAGACGAAGATGGCGTTAGAACTGAAGACAATAAGATCGCAGCGATTAGAGATTGGCTAGCGCCCCGCACACTGACAGAGTTGCGGTCGTTCTTAGGTCTAGCTAATTACTATAGGAAGTTCGTCAGAAACTTCTCCACCATCGTTGCACCCCTTCGCAGGTTGCTAAAGAAAGAGGCAATCTGGAAGTGGGACAAGGATTGTACAGCTGCCCTGAAAAGATTAAAGCGGGCCCTAATAGAATACCCAGTCCTTAAGGTAGCCGATCCATCCCTGCCTTTCGTTGTTACCACTGACGCGAAACAGTATGGCATAGGGGTTGTTTTACAACAAGACGATGGCAATGGATATAGACCCGTAGAGTTCATGTCCGCCAGGATGCCTTCAGAGAAGGTGGCGACATCCACCTATGAGAGGGAACTCTACGCTCTCAGGCAAACACTAGATCATTGGAAGCACTACTTGCTTGGGAGACACTTTAAAGTCTATTCAGACCATGAGACTCTAAGGTGGTTGAAGACTCAGGCCAAGATGACACCTAAGCTTACTAGGTGGGCCGCAGAGTTAGACCAGTATGACTTTGAACTGAAGCCAGTTAAAGGGAAGTACAATGTAGTAGCGGACGCTCTGAGTAGGAGAGTTGATTACTTTGGGGCAATAGTTCACTATTTGGATATTGGGAGAGATCTGCAGCAGAAAGTTAGGGAGGCATATGCACAGGACCCTATCTATAGTGACCTCCTCAAGAGAGTTAGGGAGGCCCCAGAGTCCGAACCAGACTACCGCACTACTGATGGCTTATTATTCGAGAAGACTAATGTAGTTGACCGCCTGTGCATTCCCAACAGTGAAGAGATCCGTAGTTTGATCTTAGGGGAATGCCATGATACAGAGGGACACTTTGGTTGGCAAAAGACACTAGCCAACCTCATCCACGCGTACATCTGGCCTGGTATGAAGGCCGGCTGCATAGAGTATGTCCGCAGTTGTAAAGTCTGTCAGCGAAATAAGACTACTACGCGAGCCCCTCTTGGTCTTCTCAGACCCTTGCCTATTCCTGACAGACCCGGAGATTAAGTGTCCATCGACTTTATGGATACTCAGGTCAAGAGTAGGCATGGAAAAAGTCAAGTCATGGTCATAGTAGATAGATTTAGCAAGTATGCAGTTTGTGTTCCTTTGCCTGCAGAGGCACGCACATACTTAGTAGTTTAAAAGTTTTTTGGCCACTGGGTCAGTGAGCATGGTATACCGCTGTCGATAGTTAGTGACATGGATACCAGATTCACTAGTCAGAACTGGCAGGAGCTGATGAAAGTTTATGGCTCGAAGTTGCTGATGTCGTCTGGTCGTCATCCTGAGACTAACGACCAGACTGAACAGATGAACAAGCTCCTGCAGCAAGTTCTTAGAATGTACATTAGGCCCGATCAGATCAACTGGGATGAGATGCTCCCAAAGGTAGCCAGTGCCTACAATAATAGCGTGCACTTATCTACGTGTCGCACTCCCAACGAATTGCACAAGTCCTTCAGACCGCACAGACCGTTCGAAGGACTGAACCGGGATCAGATTCACAGATTACCACCCGGTACCAGGGAGTTTGCGATACAGCACGAGAAAGAGATAGCTACCATTGTTGACAACCTCAGGAAAGCCCAACACAAAATGATAGATCAGGCTAACAAGCATCGTCGGCCCTCACAGTTTCAAGTAGGTGACTTAGTCTGGGTCAAGTCAACAGAATTTGCTCCTGAGGAGAACATTCACAGAAGCTGTTACCTGCACATAGAGGACCATGGCCAGTCCTAGAAGTCAAGGGCGGAGATGATGGACCGTCCTATACTATTGAGATTCCAGCACACCTCCACACCTACCCAGTGTTCCATGCGTCAAAGCTGTTGCCTTGCGTTACAAGTCAACAGATTCCATCAGGCAGGTCTATGATTCCTCCAGATATGGATGGAAGATATGACATAGAAGGGACAATAGGTGAGGATGTCTTCAGGACAGGAGGTAGAGGTCGTCCCCAAAAACAATACAAAGTCAGATTTGCCTATCAAGAGCCAGAAGATGACCGCTGGTTCACGCGAACCGAAATTCTAGAGACAGCTTCCGATATAGTCCGAGCTTACGAAAGAGATAAGAAGGGTAAAGGTCCTGCCTTAGACTGAAGTATTCTCAGAGGACCTCGAATTTAGGCCGGCGGGAGTGAAACAGTTTTCACCTTTCTGCAGTCACAGATGCGGGCCTAGAGGTCGATCCGCAGACCTCACTTTGCCCATGTACAGTATCGAGTCGACACCCGGGTGTTTGAACCCGTGACCTGTGTTTTGGTAGTTGTTTGTCGTGTAGGTCTGTGTAGTGGTAGGGGTTCGATCTGTAGGTCTGTTGATTAGGGGTCACAGCTTTGTAGAGGTCGTAGCTGTAGGTATTCTGAAAGGTCAAGGTCGCAGCTGCTACAGTCCTGAAAGGTCAAGGTCGTAGCTGCTACAGTACCCAAAAGGCCAAGTCCACAGACTTCCGGAAGGTCCGGAAGTGGCCTTTCGAAGTGTCTCACGTGGTACCACTGCGAGTGGTGAGCCCAACTGCGTTACGTCGGCAGTGCGACTGCATCGAGTTGGCAGTGCAAACCCATGCAGTCAGCGGTACCGGTCCCAGCGAGTCAGAGTCCAGTCAAGCAAGTACCGTGTGGGACTGTGTGCACCAAGGGCCTGGGAAAGGGGCAGACCAACGAGTTACAGAAGTATAAATCAAGAGGCAGCTCCCAGCCATTCATTCATTCGCTGCGTAACTAATACAGCGTCTTGTGCGAAGGTGGTCTGCAGATGGCCCGAAGACGAAGTGGGCTGTAGAGAGAGATCGCAACCATAGTCAGTAGAGGTAGAGCGGCCATAGCCGCTGTAGAAGGAAGTTAGACTTAGTGTGTGTGTGTGGTGGTATCCAGGGTGATCCAGAGTGAGCGTGTGTGAACAGTGGAGTTGGACATAGTGACGGAGGTTTGGATGTACAGGCGCCGAAGCGCCATAGCATGTTGAAGTGAACTTGCATCTGAACTGTGTTCTCGATTTCCATATCTCTAAGCTTTGAGTGGGCGCCCTGCACCAGTGTGTATCTCCATCTGTTTGCATGTGTGCGAAGTGGAAGTGAAAGCGAGTCTGATTGCACACTCTTCAATCATCTGACAATTTTATGTTGTGTTCACGTGTTGTTTGTACCTTGTGTTCTCGCTTCTGTCTTCTTTCCCTCTTTTACTTCACTCATCTCTCCACCTTGCTTTACCCCTCTGAAACCCTCCTCCCTCTCTCTACCTTTCACCTTGCTTTACCCCTCTGCAACCCTTCTCCTCCCTCTCTCTACCTCCCCCCTCCCCCCTCCCCCCTCTCCTTCCTCTCCTGCCGTATGTTCCTTACGCAGATGTATCTGACAAGGGAACATGAGAAAGGGCAGTTCGGGGAGTATTCTCCAGGACCAGCGGCATACAACAGCAGGTCTTCTCTGGTAAGAGATTTGGTTTTTATTAACTTTTAAATTTTAATACTTTTATTGTGTATTTTTGTTTTTTGTTTGTAATTTTCTTCGGTGCCTGTTTCTGTTGTTAGGAATCTCATTCCCTTCCAATGATTACAACAACCTGGTGCTCAAACAAACTGATAAGGAGGCATCGCATACTTGATTAGTACCTCACACCACACTGAAGATTATTGCACTAGAAAAGCGTCTATACACCTGGATGCCTGAGTGGACGAGGCAGAAGGGCGATGCTGGGTTGTTCACGGACATCCCTGTTCTCTTTCAGTTGGCACATTATGTCCTCCACGAGAGTAAAGCCTCACATTTTGTGCTAAACTTCTGAATCAGTTTCTCTTTTCTACTTCTTCTTCTTCTTCCTTTTTTTTTTTTGTTCCTTTTTTGAAAGGGTGACTGCCTTCAACCATATCCCTTTTTTTTTGGGGGGGGTGTTCCTTTTTTAAAAGGGTGACTGCCTTTAAGTATATCCACGGATTCCACAGTGAGACCCACCAACTCACCTCAATCTGAGTGGCGGATGAGTAGAAGGGTCGAGAACATAGTGACTGCCTTTAAGTATA